TTTCCCCCGTTTACGGGGAACGAGGGAATTTTTTTCAATTTTTGAGGGTAATGTCTTCAACTAGATACGATTTGTGATCTTTTGACATATTGTTCATCAAAATCGGTCCAGCGAGAGCTGAGATTGAGCGTTCACAGACACAAAAAAAAAAATAAAAAAAAAATAAAAAAATAAAAAAAAAAACACATCATAGTAAAATTAATACCTTCTCAGCTTCGCATCGAAGCTAAAAGTATAAAAATAACTATAATTTTTAATTTAACTATATTTTATTTGTATTTTTGTAAAAAAGATTTCATTTTTTAGCTTTAATATAAAGCCAAGAAAAGAGAAATTAAAATTAATAATGTTATAAAAACATAACATTATATTTAAAAAAGTGTTATTAGAGATGACATTAAATATTTCGTATATAACAATTACCTATTTCGATTAAATATGGTGTGTCTGACTTTTTCATTTTTTTATCTAAATATAAAAAAAAAAGAATAAGATTATAAACAATTAAAGTGAACTAATATGTATTAGTGTAGTTAATCTATGAATAGTAAATTACACTGACGCCTTACAAGTCGAATTTCAATGACAAAAGTTTAGAGAGGAAAAAAACACTCAACCAATTTGACCGGCATCAGATTTAAATGTAGCTAGTAAATAATAATTTAAAAAAACTATAACAGTTTATCTCTTATATTTATTAGGAGTTCAACATTATATTTTATAAAAGGAACATAAATTTATAAATATTGAATGTTAGAGCATTATTTAGTTGAGAAAATGACAACTGATATGATAGTAAAGGTACCGATAGCTACGCATAGAGCGCGACACTTAATCAGTTGCGCACAAAGAAAACTATTATGCCATTGTCTAATCAAGAGTGTTATATATCATTGAAGGGCAACCCTTGGTAGTTTCTCTTAGGGTATATAATTTAATTAGGAAACCTCGGTACCTAATGTAGATATAGCCTAACCAGTTATCCCCCGTTGTCCCCTTAGATTTCTATTGACGGCTCAACTCCAAAATAACATATGCATTTTTAAATTTTGTTTAAGCAATTGTTAAAGCACTCAAGCTTAACAAAATTTGTAATTTAAATATACATCAGAGTAGAAATGTTTTTCGTTTAAGAGTTATAAATGACCTATCATCCCCAACCTGTAGAGCCGGTTAAAACATATAACCAACAATTTAAGCCTAATAATAAAAATTTGTTCTAGCTATTAATGTGTTTGGAATAACTTTACAAAATTCATAAATGCAAACAAAGATGAATTCTATTAATAAACTAGTTAAATATATGATACTATTTAAAACAATTAAGTTAATGCCTCTAGTATACATATAAGGGAAAATCGAAAGAGTGCTTAGTAATTGATAAATCAATAAATATATGTATCTAAAATAATCAAAAAAATATTTCTGGAATTATTTATATCTTATTAGTAATCTATATAATTTATTTAATTTATGAGTAGTTTATGATACACGTATCATATTATACGTGGATGTAGAAGTGAAAGTGCTGTAATACAATTCTATTAAATTTTCAGAATAGTCATTTGTAATATTCTAATTCTTTACGAAATAATGTAATTTTTGATTTAGAAAATGTTATAATATTGTTCAAAAACTAAGTTAATGTTATCGATTATACACACGATGTTTAGAAAACTATTTTTGTTTGCACTCATATAAAAATTAGTATTTACCTAAATATGACGTACTATGTCTAGCATTAACCTATACAATATAATAGCAGTTTTCACTTATCCAATTTTAATTTAATAATAAAAAAAAAATTATAATATCTTATAATTTGTGTTGTAAATTCATGTTAAACTATAAGGCTTTCTATTGTATAACAATTAAAATTGTTGGAAAAATCAGACTATTTATTATAAGGGAAGCAAATCATATAAATGTATTAAAACACCAACTGAATTAATTCGACCAATTAAAAAAAAAAATTAAATGCAAATATTAAATTAAAAACAGATAGAATAAGACTATCAAAAATTGAAAAAGTAATTATTTCGGTTTATATTAAGCGTTTTTCATCGAAGAAGTAGTTGAAAATCATTAAATTATCAATCATAAAGAACTTGAACTAATTTAAAGATAATTACCCCTTCAATGATTATTTTTAGACTTGAATGTTTTTAAGTATTATCATTAATTTAAAAAAACGTACTATCAAGAACTTCTTGTGGTATTGTTACATCAATCATCTGAATTTCTGTGTTAAAATAGAAGCCTAAATTGAAACATTTTTCTATAACAATCTTTTTAATTTCGTTATCTATTTTTTTATTAGTATATTCAAAAGAAAAATTTTTGTTATTTTTCATTTTATTTACTGTTTTCAAATCTTGCGACATTTCTTTAACAATTTCAGGTTTAAAGAAACATTTTTTTAATTTATCATTTATTTCTATATTAATATCTTCTCTCATTTTATTAAACATAAAATCAATGTTTTCTAAGATTTTTTCACAAGTATTTGGATTACTCTGTAATGGAGTTTTATTAATAATACTATTTTCGATTTTTTGTAAATGTGACAAATAACAATATAATATATAATCATCTCTNTCTTTGGATTATCCTGTGATGGAGTTTCATGAATAATACTATTTTCGATTTTTTGTAAATGTGACAAATAACAATATAATATATAATCATCTCTTGTGTCGTTTAAAGGAGTAATACATAACCCGTCTAATGAAATCAATGATTCTTTCATGACTGTTGCCAATAAAGTTATTTTATTAGTTATATTCAATAAATCTATAGTACATTCATAGAAATTTTTGTTTTGATATAAAACTTTTTTACATTCATGACAATAATCAATAACCATATTGAATATTTTTTTTAAATCATTAGCGTATGTACAACGAAGTATTAAAGCAGCGGCATGCACTTTTTTATTGCACGTAGTGTATTTAACAATTTTAATAATATTATCTAACATATATGGTCTACTATGATATCTTACATACTGTAAGTCAGTTAAATGTTGCCATCCATCGTTTTGGCAAAGGCTATTAATAATTGCTGCTTTTTTTTTCGTAGAAATATTTGGAGTTTTAGCAAACACTACAATTATGTAAAATAATAAAACAAAAATTTCAAACAACTTTATAGAAAACATTTTATCGTGTCCATAAAAATAAAATTATAAATATCTCACTATAAAATAATTTTTACCTATTAACAAAAATTATGAAAAAAATCCGCCGAAGTTTAAAACTATAAAAAACTTTATAAATAACTATTGTGTAAATAACTGTAGTATTTTATTTTTATTTAAATTTTTGTATGTTTATCAATTATTTTGATTTTATTACCAAAAGAATTTAGGTTAGTTTGAAATGTTAAATTATGTTTAAAAAGATAAAAATTTAGTATTTCATGTGTTCGTAGATAATTTTAAATTATTCATTGTATACTTTTAAGAATTTTTTAAATAATTTAAAAAAAAAGTATTTAAAATATCATCCCAATATTAATTATTTTTATTTGTTACTTTTTATATAATGTAGTCAGACAGACTATCTATCATTGTCATGTATTTTTTAAGGTGACTATAGAACTATTGATGTACTGAATGTCTTACTTAAGTTTTTAGGGTCAAAATAAGACTGACTACAATTTGTATCATAACACATACTTAAAATATTTAATTTCTCATCAGTTTATATTTTTCATAAAATTATATTTTGATAATAAGAACTTTTACTAGCCAAAAAAACAGATAAAAAACTATCAAATTCAATGCTCTTACTAGAAATATTAGATAATGATTTTTTTTCATGATTCGACTCCTAATTTTAATTTAATACCTTATTCTAATATCCTGAAAAGTGACGTTATGGAAACAAAACATTTAATTATTTAATATTTGGAAATCGGAATTTTACAATTTTGCAATAGGGGTATGTCTTTTTTCTCATTTTCTATTCTGAGTCTGTATTTGTTATACTTCCTATGTATTATTGTCTTTATTTTATTATTTCATTAATTATTATAACTACGCATTATCACATAGATTTTTTGATATTTATTTTATTATAGGTCAATAATGTAGGGAATTATTTTTTATTGTATAAATAATAAATTATAATGTTTTTAAAATGACTTGTGTCTCAAGTAATTTGAGTAATTGTTATTTATGTACTGACTAATAATCAATAATAAATTTATTTTATCAACTATATTACAAAAGATATTTTGAATAGTTTATATTTGGCTGCATTAAGTGAGGATAATTAAAGTGATATGCCACCTATTCATTTATGAAATTCATTATTTTTTCAAATATTTTATTTAGGAGTATTGTCTATTAAACGTCGTTGTTTTATTAATTCCCATGGAATATTATGCATAAGTGAATGTAAATGATTATAAGTGTTCATTATACCGGATCAAAAAAAGTTATTTCGTAAAATTCGTTTCATTTTTAAGAAAGTTATAGAAGTTTTAAGAAAAAAAAAGTATAAAAAAATATCAAAGTTTACCTGATTTTATTACAATAAATTGCAAACAATCGTAGAACTTAAACGCTAACGTTTATGGAATGTACACGTTTATTGAACTATACGTTAAACGAACAATAAAATTTTGACCGTATACCTAATAGATCAATAGAATCTGTTCGTGACGACCGAACGTGATAATTTTTTTTTCAGACTCTCTGTAAAGAAGTTTCACTTCAAGAAATGTTCTAGTTATCAATGGTTTATAATAAAGTGAAGTAACGAAATACAGGTTGATTCTTTTAATAGTCATTCTTATCCCCATTGTTTCTCTTAAAATAATAATTATTGTAAGACAAACCTTTATGGTATATTTTAGTTAACAAAGTTAGATTCACCACTAGCCGATGTCTTACCAGACTATTGCATAGTGGAATTTATATGTAAATGATACAAATGATGTTTTAAAATTGTACTAATAAACTATTTACTCAGTTCTTACCTTAATTTAAGGCCAAAATTAAATTCAGAGTGTACTATATAGGGTTTGGAATAAAAAACCAATGATGTTCCTATTATAGCACACGTTACTCGAGTTATGGGCGTTTTTACCGTATCACCAAAAATAGAACGAGATGAGAATTAGAACTAGCGAGTCTATTATTTTACGAATCTCGAACTAATTGCGAATGGCGAACTATACGATAAATAAAGTAATAAAAAATACGAAACGCACTTAAGACGGTACACTTACGCACTTAATTGAAAAACGTACGACGACGAGCACGACGATGACAAAACTTACAAAATCAAATTATATATTAATTTAACGATGCGGCACGATGAACCAAATGTTTCGAAACTGGTTCAATATGTATAATAAATAAATAAATAATTGATAAATACGAATATTAAAAATAGTGGACTGTATCGTTTTATTATAATTTACTTGTAAGCTGGCGATTTGTCCGCGCGCGTACGTAGATCGAACATAACTGTTTCATATATTGGTTGGCGACCATCATTATTATAGATATTCCTTAATAGCGCGATAACGAGCGCAAACATACCTAATAGATCAATAGAATCTGTTCGTGACGGCCGAACGTAATAATTTTTTTATCTTATAGTTTTTATAATTTATACGTAAAAGATTCTTAACAATCCAAGTAGCGTAAAAAAAGGGAAAACAGCTGGTAAGGTGGGGAAATGTGGGGAGGGTAAGCATGTCTTATGATGTCGGAGGTAAGGATGGCGTGGTATTATGATGGTGGTGGTAAGAGGGAAGTTTGGTCTCATGATGGTAGGGTGAGGGGGAGGCGTGGTCTCATAATGGTGACAGTAAGGGAAGGCGTGGTAAGCATATTTTCAACCTCAAATGTACAAATAATTTCTAAGAATTTTATTAAGTAATCATATTTCCAACATCAAAGATGTCGCCGTACATTAATGATCTCTGTGGTAGGCATTTTATTATAAAAATGGCAACATTGTCATTTTTCACGCCTACGCATTTTATTCTTTACTATATAACCGCTTCACTGCTCTCTATCCTGTCACATATGTGTTTTATTGACGTACTTTTTATTATATTAATTTTTTTGTTTTTTTTTTTTAATTATTTTTTAAGTTTTTTTATCATTTATAAAGTAATCTTAAGATGTCTTACAGTTGAAACTAACTGCCACTATTTATTCAGTTTAGATTTATTTTATTATATCAATAAATAAAATATTTATTTTTCTTTTATTAAAGCTACCTCGTTTACATCTGCTTCGTCACGTCAGGTGGCTAAGCGTAGTAGGGCTAAAAACAGCGCGGTTAGATCTAAAAGGTTACGTATTCAATTGACGGATACCCTCGATTTCACTGAGATTGATTCCGCGTTGGAGGGGGGGCCTTTTGGTTTTATCGGAAGAACGTGGAAAATTTCGTGAGTATCGGGATTTTCTGCGCGCTGTTCAGGGGTTTTGTGTAAACGTATAGGTGCTTATATCTCAAACCATTTTCCTCCATTAATAATTTCAACATAACATGCGGACTAGGCACAAAACTTGATAAAAGTCTAGCTCGTGGTGATCCTAGAATAAATAAATAAACCATTCCTGATCAATCAAATAATCTTCAAGCATGCTATTTTGATCATTCAAAATTAAAGAAACTTTCGTTCGAAGTTCAAGTAAGCGGGCCAACGTTTTGCTTCGTGACAACCATCGTACTTCTGTGTGTAATAAAAATGACTTGTGAACAGCTCCCATATCTTCTCACAGTATTTTAGGTAGTCTAGATTACAAAGGTCGTGTCTTAATATAGTTAATAATTTTTTCTAATTTTCAGCTTTAGGATCGTTGGCTGGTGGAGTATCGAGTTTGCAATCAGCTGTTATTAAAGTTTTAAAAATAAAAATGTTCAAATAGCTGACTCTTACGCTACATGGAACAACGTCGGAAGTCACATCAAGTTTTTTTCTACCTATAGAATTTACTGGAGCACCAGATGTTGCGTTGTTAGGATTTTACGGATGTAATTCAATACTAGATATTGAAAAGTCAAACAATTCATTCATTTTGATAAATACAAATAATGAGCCACTTGAAAATAACATAGAAATTTTCCTGAGGGCACTTATGAATTTGAAAAAATTAGTAAGTATCTAGAAGAAAGTCTTCAGTCGTATAAAGTTTCATTCATGTTGAAGGCTAATAAAAATATTTTGAAATCTGAATTAAAATGTAGCCGACTGATAGATTTTAGCATTTAAAATAGTATAGGAGGTATTTTAGACATTCATCGAAACATACTCAACGTATATAAAATACATATATCGGATCAAGTTGCTTACATAAATTATTTAACTAGTATAAAAATAAATTGTAACGCTGCTTATGGTGCATTTGACAACGGAATTTCGAGTCATACGGTTCACAAATTTAATCCAAAAGTGCTAGCTGGTTACCGCATTGTTGAAAATCCTAAAAATTCGATATAATATCCAATAAACTATACTCTATAACTGTGAAAATAACAGATAAAGTAGTTAACTTTAGAGGTGATCCTGTTACCATACGTTTACATATATGTGATTCAATAAAACCAAGAGTAATTCTAAAAAACCAATCATTAAACCACGACTAGTTGACGAGATACGACGTTGACATTCTTTCTGCGTTGTTAAATACTTTCAAAAGTTAAGTTGAAAAAGTTAAATTTTTGTAAAAAGTTGTCATTTTGAATTCCCTTTGTGGGCAGGTAAAGCGTCAGATTTATAAAAAATATATACACAATGAGAGTTAATTACTTCATGTTTCTATAAATAAAAAGTCATATTGATTTGGTCATTTTAAAAAGAGTTAAAAGAATTCGGTTCAATGAGAGCTGAGAAAAAGTAGTAACTGTCACAAAAAAAAAAATCAAATCATGATAAATTTAATACCTTCTCAGCTTCGCATAAATGCTAAAAGCATTTTTAATAGTTAAGAGAACTAACACTGACTTATTAAGAATCTCCCTTGAAAAATCAATCTCGCTATACAAGATTAAGTTATTCATATTATTCATATTAAGTAATTTAATACTAATTGATCCTTTTATCAATTAGATTAAAAATTCAAATATCAATACTAATAAGACAACCGAGCAAACCACGAGGTTGTAATGTATACAGCTGAATGAACTCAGCGACCGGTGGTATTCACGCGGGTTTGCTAACGGTCGTGGTTTTATTTTGTCTCAAGTCTTTGGCTATGTCGAACACGATGAATAAGGTGAGTGGACTGTATGAATGATTGCAGAATGAATTTTAAAATATATAATTAAATGTATTATACATGAATCATAAAATCTTATACACACCACTGTGGATTGTTACGTCGCGATTTAGGGGTTGAGCCTAAAAGCCCGTCGACAGTATTCTAAGGGACCAACGGGGGATAGCTGGCTAGGCTATATCTACCTTAGGTACTGAAGTTTCCTATTTAATTTATATTCCCTTAGAGGAACTACCAAGGGTCGCACTACAATATATATNTGCAGAATGAATTTTAAAATATATAATTAAATGTATTATACATGAATCATAAAATCTTATACACACCACTGTGGATTGTTACGTCGCGATTTAGGGCTCTCAATAGTCGGCTACGAAGCGGTTTCTATGAAAAGCCCGGCCCTGTCGTTGACTTCTTGAATAGTCACGGGGCCCCAAAGAGTATTCTCCGTTTTCTCGAGGTCTGTTCAGAGCACTAACGCTTAGTATAAAAAAAATTTAATAATTAAAAGGGGATATTGGGGTACCGAATACAATCATAAGCAATGCATGCACAATGAATGATAAATGTTTATGAATTAAAAAATAATTTAATGCTATTTATGACAATAAAAAATAAATTAAGTTAACCTAATGTATGTAGCCAAAACGTTGTCAAAAACGTGCATATATTTACAATAGGTGTCTTAAGTTAAGTTAAGCATGCTCGATAATAGAATTAATGTATACAGTAAAATATATGCGAAACACACACAGTGACTATCTCATAAAATTCAGTGTCCATTTATTATATAGAAAAAAAAAGAAATATACACAATAGGGTATTTTGAATTAGGCTGACTTGCGCCTTAGTTGCGGGACGATTATATTATATAAATTATACTATAATAAGGGTTGCCGTAATAACGGCTGTTTAAAAGACCACGATTTTTGCTGCTGTAACAACTTAGTTAACTTGTATATATTAAACGTGCATGTCGAAACAAATAAATTTATTTAATAATATTAACTGACTCGCTCTATTAGTATCAATTGTAATTATATAAGTAATGTGTATACAATGAGGTCATAATATGCTATACAAAGAGATTGACTGTTATAAACATATGAATAGAATTAGTTATTCAAATTTGTCACGTAAGATTATAACTAGGGATGTGGCGACCGTTGACTGTTTAGTGTTGTTCATTTTATGTTTGACCTATTTGGACTGAAGATGCATGAAGTGTTGTGTTGGAAATTATACGTGGTAAGTACCATAATAAAATAATTTTTTTTTTAATTTAATAACAATAACCAAGGGTTTTATTTGCCACAAATATTCTTTCAACCCAATTTTAAAAAATTCGATACTATTAATTTTTCAAATAGATTATTTAGAAGTAAATTTTCTTAAACCTCGTGTATTGCGCATTTTATATCACTTTATAGTATCGAATAAAAGTAATTTACTTACTGAACACCCTGTATAATAAATAAAGGGAAGTCGGGCTAAGCCGATCGAAATAATAAAGACATGTTATAACATTGTTTTGTTAATTAGAATGAAATTATGCCATTATAAAAATATGTTGATCTAGTCGAACGGAAATAATAATAATAATCCATAAGTATTAAAGAAAATAGTTAATTAAAATTAATATTATGAGTAAGCCATAATTTTCAAATAAAATAATTCAAATATGCCATAACGTAATGTATCGGACGGGCCGAAAATAATATTAAAATATATATATGCCACAAATTAAATTAATTAACGGACTTGCCGAATATAAATAATAGTATACATATAAGTCTATAAGTATGCCACAAAATAATAAATCAATCGGACCTGCCGAATGTAAATAAATATATGCCACAATATAATTAATCGGACTTTGCCGAATATAATTATAAAATATAATAAATAAACAGACAATGCTGTAATGTGGCTGGGGCCCCAAAATAATAATAATAATATAACAATACTATATATTTAAATAGTAATAGTAATAAGGACTTATTTTTCTAGCTAGAAGTTACTCACCCAATGGTTGACAACAAAGGGCGGATAGAACATAAATATGCACGAATCGTGATAATTTGATGTCTCAGTGATCAAGTCGCTACATACGAAATTATACGAAGATGTTGAAGTCGTGGTTTCACTATATATAACACTTTAGGTTAACAACGATATAAATAAATATTTATTAAGCAATTGAATATTAAATAGATGATACAACCTGCTGGACACCTAGAGATGATATAATCCAACAGGGNTGGACACCTAGAGATGATATAATCCAACAGGGAACTGACGGCGACACACACACTCTCTATATACGGGGTCGAAAGGTTAAGTTAATTATCAGACAAAAGTAGTGATCGCGAAGATTGTAAAATGTCAACTGTCGATAGGGATATCTATTATGGCACATTGGCCGTGAATTGCAAAAGCTTTTATGTGTGCAGTCCGCCCTCCTGTTAGTATTGTTGTATGTCACTGTGTTAATTATATATATATGTTTATTAAACGGTACAATGATTTTATGGGAGACAGAGATATGGGTATATGCAAATGTGATCGTATCAGCTGCTCCCCCTACACTTAAGGTCTGACCCTAGACCTTAATACAAAACAAAAGAACTTTGGCAAAATAATTTCATTTCAAGCCCTAACATCACTGATATAAACAAATAATGAATTATAAATAAGAATAAGTCTTAAAAAAAGGTGAACAAGCATTATACTTATCAGCTAATTGAAACGACTGATAATGTTGAATATTGAAAAGGATCAATTGAAGTCAAATGCAAGTAGCTGATTAACGTGTACAATATGCTGTGAATGGTATTGTGATGTATTTCAGCAAATATACAGACCCAACGGTTATATACTGAGCGCACAAGGGTGCGACAATCATAAATGTAATATTTTACTTTTACAACAAAACGAATACAAAACTACTGGCTCGCGAGTGCCATAGAGCTTCTAGCTAAAAATGTGCTACGATGCAGACATAGAGAGAAGACCGATAGCAACTCGATGTAGCAAAACGATAGCATAAATAATCATAACACACAATTTCTTGACAGCATATTCGACCGATATGTATCCAACAGTAGTATTAAATTCTGGTTATCAATCTATCATAATTCGACTTACGATAGATTGATAACCAGAATTATTATTTAAAGACATAATGAGGAGTAGTATTTTTAATACTGTATGTAAACACGAATTTTTTTTTTTGAGAAATACATTAAATATATCATTTTTATAGGTCTACTTTTTTTGTTGATCCGAACATAAACCTACTAAAATGGGTGCTTTTATAAACTAATCTATAATATGAATAACTCTATCCACCTTATATTTTTAAAATGCTTTGAAAAAATACGAACCTTTAAATTAATGTAATAAGTCTTTATTTTAATAATTAAAATTGTATCCCTGTACTTATTTTGTATATGTAAACTGTCTTTTGATATGTACTACAATATTTATAAGAACATTTTCACTCCATTTTTCTACTGTTAATAATTAGCAGTTAATAAACAAAAAATCACAGCAGCACAATTATTTTATGTTCAATTTTTTTATATTTTTAAACTTTGAGGAAGGGGATTGGGTGTATTATCGCGCGCATACCTTATCCAGCGCTGATAAAAAGTTTCATGCCGGCATTGCTCCTAAGTGGCTGGGCCCCGTGCAACTAGCCAAAAGGTTAGGTGAGGGAGTATTTGCGACCAAAGGAAAGCGTCAGTTGAAGCTTCATGTTACGGCCATGAAACATGACACTTCAGGAGGTAATCCTAACAATCATTCTTTGTTACAGGATGACCGACAACCAGCAGCAAGGAGAAGCCCGCCCGTTCCGCCCATCACGTCGATTAGCCGCCGAAACCGAAACCATGATGCGCTAACAGGCAAGACGACTGATGCGGCAAGCAGCGGCATTATTTGGGGAAACCTACGAGGAGTTGCCGAATTGGCAAAATAAATCACATAATAAAATTATTTTAATATGAATAACAATTTTCTTAGCGTTGATAATGGTAACATTGTTTCCGAAATATGTATCCGCGACTTTTCATTAATTTTTTTGTTGCTTTGAGTTTAATATTTTTAATATTTTTTAGTTTTTTAAATTAATAATATTTTTAATATAGTTTTAATTTTACTTAATTAATTAGTCACAAGTGATCAATTTTTATTATACATATATATATATTTAGTATAAATAATCATTAATTAATAGAACTCTTTGTATGTTATTCGTGTAAGGTTTTGATAATGATAATTTAATTTTTTTATTTATCATAGTCAATAAAATTGAAAATAAACTTTATAATTTATATTTTTATGTCAATTTTGCGATAAAATTGTTAAGCAATCACGCAGTATAAAGTATAAATAAATAAAAATATAAAAAGGAATGCAACATAACTACATTATTTATTATCCTTTTATTACATATTATTTGATTTTTTAAGCTTTGGTACAATAATATCTTTTTTTTTTCAATCATTAAAAATAAATATATGTGTGTAAATTAGTCGTGTATGTCTTAAATATATATACTTTTAATTAGTTATACAGAAAAATTTTAATTAAATATAAATTTTGCTGAATTTCCTCACAATTTGTAGTTGTTTCATTTGACGAAAACTTGAATATAAAATCTTATTAAAAATAGTTCTGTTTTACTATGATTTCATTTTTTTATGGCTCGACTCGGGTGGGTCAGATGAATCCAAATTCTGAAGTAAACTTTCATAAATTAATCCTGTGTCATCATAATCATTGTCAGCTGAGTTTACGTCTACTGATTTTTCACCATTTAAATTTTGGCCAAGTAATTTTTCAACATTTAAATTTTTGTCAGAATTTAATGCTGGAAAAATAAAATAATTTAAAAATACATTTAAGCAACATTTATGATAATATATAATGATATCTGAAGGTGATTTAAAGCTACATGATCTTCTATTTCCTTATTAATGTCCTGATTAAGATAAACTATGTCGAAGGAAAAAGGAATATAATTATTATTTCTCATAAAAAAATTTATTGATTCATACACTTTTCAATAAGTTATAGAATTATAGAGTAAAAATATAAAATCTATAATTTTTACACAAATATAGCACTTGCTAACTATTTTCACCGTGAAGACAAAATAGAGATTATACATAAGACATTATTTTTAATTTAAGATATATATAAAATTGTCAGAGTTTCCGGAACACTTTCAAAAGTTAATTTTTTGTGAAAAAGTTGTCATTTTATATCTCCCCTGTGGGTTAATAAAGGGTCAAATTTATTAAAAAAAATAGCAAATAATAAGTAAAGACATCATGCATTTATAAAAATAAATTATATTGATTTGGTCATTTTTTAAAAAGATATGGCTGTTTTAATTAAAAAATATTTTTGGAGATTACCCATATTTACTGGGAACGAGGGCAATGTTTCAATTTTTGCGGGTATCGTCATAGATTAGATACAATTTGTGATCTTCTGACGTATCGTTGAAAGAAATTGGTTTGGTGAGAGCTGAGAAAAAGTTATAGAGATATTTTATTCCAAATCACATAAAAATTCGTCGATATAATATGTACGAATTTCTCGAGCAAAATAATAAATTTTAAAAATGTTGAGTTAGGAAATTTTTTTATAGATGATGACAAACTTTAGTATTAACTTCAACCGCATTGTAAACTAAAAAAACATTGTAATGTTAATATTTCACCTTTAAACTTTTTTACGAATAATATCATTGAAAAATTTTACCATTTTTAAGAAAGTCTAATAATTCTGCGACTCCGGTTTCAGTTTTCTTTTTTTTTTCTATTAAAAAATAAATAATTATTAAAATTTGAGTGGTGTATAATATATATTTGTTAACTCAATGATACAGTTGATCTGAAAATTAATAGTTTTATTTATTTATAAAACTGAATAAAATCAAAAACCCAATTAACTTGGGAACAACACAATGATTCTCTGCAGTTATAGATTTTTAGCGTTTTAATAACATAATACCCTATCAAATATTTTATTACTAATTTGTTTTCATTTAAGAAAAAATACTTAATAAGGTATTTGAATCCGTCTTTCCTATGCCTCTTTTATCCGGAGTAGTATTATTCTTCATTATAAATTAAACAATAAGTTTATGATATTATCATAAAAAAACCTTCGATACATTGTGCATAGAGAAACAACTGTTTAAGGGTTATAATGTAATCAAAAAGTTATTATTTTGTTATATGATATGATCGACAATACAATATATATGTGTATATTATAGTTCAATACAACTATAATAAAAGAATGGAAATAAAATAGTTTGCAATGTACATCGCACATTATAGTAAAATTATTATTTTCTTATCTTTACATTAATGCTAAAAAAAATAATTTCATTATTTACAGAAATAAAAAATAGAAAATTAGAGTTTAAAATGTGTAATTCTATATCTTTTAACATTTCTTATGGTATAGATAAATTTAATGTTTTGTTAATAATCGTTCCTTATATGACACATACGTTAGTTTCCACTGTTAATACTGTATGATTTTAATACTTAATATGATTAATGCTATGATTAATACTTATATGATTTTAATTTCTTCTTTTTACTATTCAATAAATTGTTAGGTTGACACTCTCTCCTAAATCGTTGTCATTGACGGTGTGTCTCGTCCGAATGTGTCGAAAAAACGCAATCTTCTCTATCAATTACTACAGTGATCTTTTTCTGTTTGTGTGCAATCAACTTTTATCACATGTGACAGATTTTTTAATATATAGTAACTTTTTTAGGCGTCGACCATTTTCATTTTCGATATCCCCATCTTAGGATGTGTCCCTTCAAAGACTTCAAAGTTTTGAGAAGTTTCTATTTAATTTAATTTAATTAATTGTATTATGACACAGATGTAATTTCGTAGATATCTAGAATGAAACTATATTATTTTTTTTAATAATCAGAAAATTATTATTATGGTTAATCTAATCCTTTTTAATTTATTTAAAATGAAATCATATTTTTTTTTAACAATACAGATGTATCCAAATACCATCTAAAAGTTGTAGGTCAAGATTTTTTTCTTGTCGTAATAATTTTTTTTTTCTTTTCTCTCAATATTCAGAGAGGTTTTAGCCTTCGGATTTGTCTACTATTAAATTAATTGTTATAAATAAGTTCCCTTAATTATCTTATTAAACAAAATCTTTTTTTGTCTCAATTATTTCAATATTCAATTGTATCTTATTTTTTCACCTCTAATAATTTTCTTTAGCTCTAAGGTAACACTCTTAGACTACCACTGGTGACATCAAATAAAATACATTTTGTTTTATTTACAAGGTATCAGCGTTTTATAGACTGCAACAACTTTTTACAATTTATTCATATATCTTATTGTATAATAAAACATTGAAAAATTAGCCAATACTGGAAAAATTACTTAACAACGTACGATTTTCATAATCTTAATCATAATCGCCAACTCGGCGACGTTATTCTAGGGAAATTATTCGTGAAAATGTAAAAAAATTTTTAACAGCGTTTAAAAATTTTATCAAAACCGCTCATCTATGTCAGCGTTTTTCGATTTAAATTCTAAAATTATTACCTGGACTTTCCAGAAAAATTCCAATGGTATTCTTATAATTTCATTGAAATCTATTTATTTTTTTTTTAATTCCACGCGCATTGTTTATGATAGGATTAGATTTTACTTTGAGCGTCTAAATAATTCTAGAATAATGTGAAACTAAAGATAATCAAAAAGAAAAATGTTTAAATTATATTTAGTCTATAAGTAATTGAGTGGGTTATGATAAAAAAATCACTCTGTATACATTATAAATGTATATTATATAATTTGACTGATATTAATATATTGATATATATCTGTTATAATCATAGTTGGTGACCAATAGGGTGGCAATTCCATGTCTGTTGCAAAGTCCAAGTCGTCACCCGTTAATATATATTAATTATTTTATGGAATAAAAAAAGTATAAAAATAAAATTGTTTAAACTTAAACTATATTTTATTTGTATTTTTGTAAAAAATATTTAATTTTTTAGCTTTAATATAAAGCCAAGAAAAGAGAAATTAAAATAAATAATTTTTAAAAACAAAACATTATATTTAAAAAAACGGTAGCACAGTGGGGTCGCGGCATAGTGGAGACATTGCATAGTAGGGTCCAGTGTAGATTTAATCTAACAGTGATTAAAATCACTATAATAAGAAACGCTTCGATGCAAATCTGTAGATAGTGTTTAATTTTAAAAAATTGTTGGATAATTGCAAAAGCAACATCAACTTCTATTAAAATAAAATACAAAACCCATAATTATCATACAAAAATAGTATATTTTTCAATATGGTAGCCATTTGCGTATAGAAGATAGATCGTCGGGACAAATTTTTTTTTTTCATTTTGTAGTACATAAAATAAGCTTTAATTTTATATATGTTTAAAGGACGCAGTATTTCCGGAACATTTTCAAAAATTAAGTTGAAAAAGTTATTTTTTGTAAAAAAGTTACTATTTTAAATCCTCCCAGTGAGCAGAATAAGTGTTAGATTTTCAAAAAAAATTATATCAAATGAAAGGGAAATATCTAAGGTTTCAATACAAAAAAATATTATTTTTATTTGTTCATTTTTGAAAAAGTTATGGCAGTTTTAAGTACAAAAAACATCCCGATAAAATGTAATTTTTATCGCAAACATTACATTTTTTTTTAAATTTTCGACAGCCATTTGCACATAGAAGATAAGATGTCGGGACAAATTTTTTTTTTTCATTTGATAGTATATAACATAACCTTTGATTTGATATATGTTTAAAGGACGCAGTATTTCCGGAACATTTTCAAAAGTTCAGTTGAAAAAGATCTATGTTTTTTACAATATTTTAAGTTTTGAACGCCCCCTATATAAGGGGAAATTGTCCAATTTTAATAAAAAGTATGTCAAATGAAAGATGTACTTATAATGTATTTAGAAAAAAAAAATTTGTGCTGATATATACATTTTTCAAAAAGTTATAGCATTTTTAAGTTGAAAATTTAAAATCGAAAATCGAAAATTTTAACACAAAAATAGTGTTTTTTTAACTACGGCAGCCGTTTAAATGTAGAAAAAA